ACAGTTGATTAGGTAGTATATATTTGTACTATGAATTTTTGTTTTATTGAAGAAAACTGAATTAAACATTGTTTCGAACTTACGTTGAATAGTTTATTGAAGGGGCCGTTTGACACTTATACGCTACGAACCCCAACCCCGGACGCTTACGAGACCACTGCTCTACCACTGAGCCATACTTTATTATGAAGTACATGTATAATGGAAAGCGACAAAGCTATTTTAATTTAGATGTCAGATATAATATAATCTAGCTTGAAAAAAATATTAAAAAATCTTCTTAAAGATACTATATGTCCCATTTGCAGCCAACATCGAATTCTGTAGAACTTTGCAGGAATTTTGAATATGTCATGTATGTCCTATCTGTGAAATTTAAACATTAGCAGTGTTCTAGTATTCAAATTATGCAAGGAAACCCGTTTACCTTCCAGACTTCACTGTCAGACACTATTGAGTGACTAACTGACAACTTTTTTCTTTGGTAATAACATACATAAAATGAGGTGTAACAGGTACATGAACATTTGTCTACATCAATAACCCACTTCTTGTAATGGCCAAAATTAAATTGATTGAATCTTTGTGCAGCACAAAACGTACGACCATTCGGTACAATGGTCTAAGAATCAGACTATTACTTAGGTAATTGCAATCACTTAAGCCGTTGGAATTTACATTTTCATTAGTTGGCCTGCAAATGGGACGAAGTACCTCTAATATACAACCCTATTAAGTTCAACCAGGGGCGTACGCAGGCGGGGCGGGGGGGGGTTTGGGGGTTCAAACCCCCCCTTCGGTATTTTTATGTGTGTAAACCCCCCTAAAAAAACCTAAACCCCCCCCCCCCCCCCTTTGGATTTTTTTTTTTTTTTTTTTTAAATTTTAATTATAAAAAAAAAAAAAAAAAAAAATATGCCCACGGCTAACCTAAAAAAGTGACCTTACCCCCCCCCCCCAAACGAAGAAAAATGTCAAATTTTCAAATTTCGAGACCAAAAAAAAAAAAAAAAGTGTCCGCTCACCCCCCCCCCCCCCCCCCCCCTTTTTTGGACTCCAAAAAAAAAATAAAGTGTCCGCTTACCCCCCCCCCCCCCCCCCCCCCCACTTAGCGACTTTTCGGCCGGCGCGATTTATCGGGAGCAAAATATTTTAGGCCCGATTTTAACCCCCCCCCCTTGAAAAATCCTGCGTACGCCCCTGAGTTCAACGATAAAAAGAGGGCTCTATCAAGTCCATATAGGAAAAATGGTCTGAAAGCAAATGCAAAACCAGAACAAAATGATGAAATTTCTATTATACTTTTGTGGCAACGTAAACGGTTATTTGGCTTTGAAAAAAAAATGGATGGACTAATTAGGTGACCAGGTGAATTGCTCCTTAATACGAGCATGCAATTATATATGGAAGTGCGTTTAACTAGGCGCGATCTTACGGACTGCAGTAATGAATGCCAATTTCACCTGATTAACATATTAATTTAAGTTAATAAAACAACATAATCTATCAGGTCTGCTGTTTAATAAACGAGAACGGAAGCGTTCTTTTGTGTGTTACAGACAGTGCATACGAATCCATTATAAACTTAATTAAAACAAAAAAAATGTTTCTGATGAGTTACACATTCGATCTCTGTCCTTTGCCTAGTAATACGGCATCAAGTGGCATAGCGTGGGTCGAGATATTGAAGGGGGCATTGGCATCATAGAGCGGGGGAGGGTGCACCCAACTCGGTGGATCAAGAGCAATGTGAGGTCATTAATCGTAATGATGGGCGTTTGGTGGGTTGTTCGACTCTTTACTCGTTTCCCTCTCCTTTCTCTTGTTTCCTTTCCCCCTTCTTTCTCACCCTTCTTTTCTCTTCTGCCTTTCTACTAAGGGGGCACGTGTCCCCTGTTCCACCCTGTAGGTACTCCACTCAGGCTCTGTTCTAGACGAAAATACCCTTTTTGTGGGGGTGGTTGTAGACCCCACAAATGTAAAATTCCACTACAAAATTTATGAAGTTACCACAAATGACAAATGTGAAAACATTTCACCCACAAGTGCACAAACAAACACAAATGTAATAACTGGTCAACCGCAAATGTAAATAAAAAAACGACAAGTGTAAAAACATTTCGCCTACAAAATTAATGTAAAAGTAAATTTTTGTCACAAATGGCATCATATGTCAACTGCTCAAGTAATAACCCATTGCTTTTGTAATAGTAATACTAATTTCTATATTTTTTGTTTATTCTTTCAAATGATATATAAGACAACAAAAAAGATCAATAAATGACGCACAACTGATAACAGACAATCTGAATTGACTGTGTCGGAAACCCAAATATGGTGCATCATTTGTCAATTCGAATTGAATGTAAGGCACACCTCCGTCACTTGTTTTGGTTGTATTTTTTTTCTGTGGGGGGGGGGGGGGGTTGGGTTGGCATAGGTTTAACTCTAAAAATGAAACAAGAATTTACAAGGCTAGGGATTAAGGGGATTTGATGGTTCAGGCGTATTCGTTTTGGTTTCTGTCACCCTCTCTCTGTCCCTTTCTTTCTTTTCTGGCTTTTTTTTAGCCATCGGATGGGACACGAACCCTTGTGTCCACTGTTACTACCGATATCCGTACATCACTGTTTTGTACATGTGTGTATGTATTAGACCTTGGGGTATTCACTTTTCTTATCCATGTTTTTCCCCCTGTTTTATTTCTGTCACAAGCCTGCCGCTCAAACCCTTGTCTTCATGGAGGCACTTGTAAGGAGACGGACGCAGGATTTACTTGTCTCTGCTTAGGTGGCTACCGTGGTGAAAGATGTGCAGAAGGTAAGTGAGACAAAGGGACGTGCATGTTTTTTTTCTTTGAATGGGGGGTAGGGGGACCCTGGTAAAGCCAGGTAATCTTGATGAGAGCGAGCATGGCAAGACAAGAGGGGTAGCATGGTTTTTGTCTCGCCTGCGTAGCAAAAAGCAAGACATATGCGCCGTCTGCAAACTTAGAATTTGTTGCGGCATCAACATCAAGATTTAGAATATTTAGCATAATTTCAAAAGTATACATTCCTATTCCATGAAACTAGAACATAAGGGTTATCAAGTATCGTCAATTATGTGATTAGTTTTTTAGGAGTCAAGGTCAAGTGTCATTTCAGGTCTGTAAACTTAGACTTTGTTGCGGCATCAACATCAAGATTTAGAATATTTAGCATAATTTCAAAAGTATACATTCCTATTCCATGAAACTAGAACATAAGGGTTATCAAGTATAAAAAATCATGTGGTTATTCTTTTAGGTGACAAAGTCAAGGTCAAGTGTCATTTCAGGTCTGCAAACTTAGACTTTGTTGTGGCATCAACACCAAGATTTTGAATTTTTTGCGTAATTTCAAAAGTGTTTGTTCAAAATTCCAAGAAACTTGTACCCAAGGGTTATCAAGTATCTCAAATCAGATGACTCAAGTCCAGTTCACGAGGTCAAGGTCAAAGGTAATTTTAGGTCAATAGACTTGAATTACGTTTATTCTCAAATCACAACTTAATATGAGAATTAATAAATCAATTTTTGTTCATATTTCATGAAAGTTATCAATCTTGGTACAAATAATAGTAAACAATTCTTCTGATGATTCTTAGTCGATATGCACTTCAAAATGCTGATGATATACAGAAGATTTCATATATAGGGGCTTTTTAATTAGCCACCCTGCATATTAATAATGTCCAAACCTCAATTTGTCATCAAGGGGGGGGGGGGTGCAAACCCTTGTTGAATCCTTGTCTACATGCACACGGAGGTTCATTTTGTCTTCCTTGAGGAAGAAAGTGAGGTTATAGAACTTGCCTAGAAACGCCACCTGTGTACAGTGGCCAGTATTCCCTTGGATGTTTGACTGTATTTGAAATAATTTGCTTGTTTTGTGTGGTAAGATGAACACAATCATTTAAAGATCACCAAACACGCAGTCATATGACCCTGTTGATTTATATGCCTGTGCTACTGTGATCCAATGTGTTTCTTCAAAACTTCCAAGGGGGATTTCACAGGGACTCCAGAAATATGATTTGATGAAGTGCTAAATAAAATTTCATTGTAATCTATTTTTTCATGCAGTGAAGTAACCCTAGTGTAAATTAATAGTTATACCTCTTTCTTTGATAGTGGGCATTTCCATGTACTTTGTCCAACGGGAAGTCATGTTTCAATTTAATTAGATATCTACATTCTATTATTCCTTTTAGCAGATGACCCTGTAAATATAGGAGTGGAAGATCACAAATCGTTCATCAACTGTTCACTAATTGCGTTCACACCAACACACAACGTATTCTAATCAGAGGGGGCGGAGCGATTTCCAAAGTGGGGGGGGGGGCACCAACAAAAAAAGGGCACTTTCAAAGGGAAATCTCACAGCGAAAATATACAATTGTTTAGACATTGTTATATAGCCCTATATTGTGAGTACAGTATCAGGGATGATTTCAATATTTGTTTCTCTTTATACCTTATATAAGATATTGCTTAAGCATCATACTTTGCAGTTGGATTTGATGGTCTGAAAATGTTAAAGATCTGTGAGGTCGCAGTGCGAAAAATTATATCTTATAAAGAGAAAGAACCCAATCATGATGGGATTATAAGCACATTCTCATAACAGAAGACTGAAAAGACCTTTGATAAGTTACATAATTATAACATCCAAAACTTACTATGAGCGAGCGTAGCGAGCAAGCTTTGGGGGAAATTTCTCTTAGTCGCTTGAAATTAGGGGCACGTTTAATGATGAGAGGAAAAGGGGACACTAATCGAAATGGTTAAGACACCTATTAGAAAAGAAAAGGAGCACGTGTAAAAAAAGGCTATTTATCAGAGGTGAAAATGGGCACTTCTTACACCTAAAAATGAGGCATGCGCACCAGGGATAAAAAGGGATTTTATGAAAATAGGAAATGGGCATTTGTCGATGGAAAAGAGGCACCATCAGATTTTGATAGGGGCATTTTTAAGAAGTGAAAAGGGCCGTTTATGAGAAAGGGATAGGTTCCTTATAAGAAAGGAATAGGGGGAACATATCATTGTTAAAAGGGTAATTATCAGAGGTGAAAAGGGGCACTTATCGCATCTGAAAGGGGCACTGACCATACATGAAAAGAGGCACTTATAAGAATTGAAAAGGGGCACTACAATAAAGGGAAATGTGCATTTGTTGAAAGAAAAGATTTTAATAGGGGCATTTATTGGAGGTGAAAGGGGGCTTTTATGAGAAGGGGAAGTGGCTCTTATTAAAGAGAAAATGAGGCACATGTTAAAATAAACGGGGCACTTTTCAAAGATGAAAATGGGTAATTATGAGAAGGGGAGGGGGCACTTATTAGAAGGGAAAAGAGCATTGATTGGGAAAAAGGGGAACGTGTCAAAAAAGAAGGGGCATTTATAAGAGATGAAAGAGCACTTATCAGGAGGGGAAGGGGCACTTGTCAAATTAAAAGGGACACTTATCAGAGGTGGAAAGGGGAAGGGGCACTTTTAAAAATTAATAGGGGCACTTGTCTCAAAATTGAATAGGATGCATATACAAAAGATGAAAAGGGGCATTTATGAGAAAGGAAAGGGGCTCTTTTTAAATGGGGGCACTTATCATAAGGGAAAGGAAAGGGGGCACATGAGAAAATATAAGGTGCGCTCATCCGAGTTAAAAAGGGGTAGTTATTGAAAGGAGAAGGGGTACTTTTTACAAAGGAAAGGGGAACTTGTCAAAGCAGAAGGGGTACGTGTCAAAATAAAAGGGGCACGTATCAGAGGTGGAAAGGGGAAGGGGCACTTTTAAAAATTAATAGGGGAACTTGTCAAAGTAAACCGGGCACTTTTCCTTTGTAAAAAGGGGCACTTCTTACAAAGTTAAAGGGGCACTTTTCCTATGTAAAAAGGGGCACTTTTGGGGTACTTGAACAAATTGGGGGCAATGTGTCCCCCCTGCCCCCGGGATCGCCGCTTCTGATTCTTATACGACTATGGTTTGAGAACTTAGTGACTATACGATGTAAATATGACTTGGTCAATTTAGCGCCCTATGCAAAACCAATTTGTATATTCAGGTTTGATGGGAGTGCTGAGAAAGTTACATATTTAAGACATTTTACATCTCCGTAAAGTCTTTGTTAAAACTTATTTTACCGAATAACTAAATGAGTTCAATTTTCTTTCTTTTTCCCCTCAACATATCTTTCTAATATTGATTGTAAACTCTATAGATGTAACCATCTACTCGTTAAAGCTTCTTGGTGAAAAGATAAATGAAGGAACACTTTCTTTAGCGTCCCGCTCCAGTCCTAAACGTACATGCTGGTACATCAAGATCCTTGGAACAGGAACTTATCCCAATTGGCATGTCAGTATCTAGGGTTTGAAGGTAAGACATTATCAATGTCAATGGCCTTCCATTTTTGGTTGCAAGTTTGTTCAGGCTTTGCCAAATGTGTGAGCCGTTGCCTTCCCCTGCTTCTCTTTTCAGCAATCTTCCCTGATAATACATAAATATATTTCTCTACATTTATCCTTACTGTATGATTATGTTACCTACAAATTGCATTTGCTTCTTTCTTATTGTGTTGATGAGTCTTGATTTTCTAAACACTTCTTAATTATTTATTTTTTCATCATGATATATTCATAATCTTACTCAAGAACCGGGTCTCTGTGGCCTTTACTTTTCTCTCAAGCTCTTTGACTATTGTAAGCATTGCAATTTTTTCATTTATCTCATGAATACCTTTCCAATCTGATGCTGCAGTGTACCCAAGGTATTGCAATGTGGACTTGCTTTATTGTTTCCCTTTATTTTTGAGATTCCATGGAGGTGTTTGAGTTTTTAAATAATACACCATGTTTTCTTCTTTTTAAATGTAATTTGTTTAAATAATTTATTGTAAGTTATTTATTAATGAAGTTACTCTTTTTTCTTCAAACACTGGTATTATAATCAGTAGTATATATATTTTGGTCGAGTTGGAGATTTTAATTCCATTTTATAAATGAAGTTTCTCCCTCTTCAACCTTAGTCCTTTTCTTATACTTTCCAGGTTTCGAAACGCTTGTTTCGGGAGCCTGGCCAAATTGTGTATGGTGTATGTCATCCTAAATTAGTTCTTGTGGTACCCGATAAAGTAAATATTAGTGTTGTGGTTTGCATTTATTTTCTTCAAAATATTATTGTGACTACTCTGCTATCCTACTTTTTACTTCAACTTTATTGAACAAGGAGTATTTGCGACGGTGAGCGGTCCGCTGTACGAGTCCTCGTCCGTCGATGCTCTAGCTGAAGCCGAATCAGTGATCTGCCCTCCTAATGCCACAAACATCACAGACTGTTGGTACAGTGAGACTAGAGTGGGACGGGTAAACGAGAGTGAAATTATTTCCATTGTGTGTTGCCCAGGTGAGTTATAGTAATAATGATAAAGGTATTAGTAATCATGATTTTAAAAAAATATTATAATTGTAATGGTAATATTTAATTATATTAAAAAATCATAATAATACTGATTGTTTTTATTAAAATAAAAACGTGTTCTATATGTACAGGGAGTCTAAAAAAAACGGAGATACATTTTGATTGGCAATATCTTTAAAAATGCTCGACCATCCTCGATACAAATTGATTGAACACATGCAGTAGCATCTCCTTAATATAGTGGTTCTGTGAAATTCAAAATAATGCCAGCAAAAAAATACTAACTTACAATCAACTCTTATTATTATAGGCTAATCTCTAATTTTTTCATTAAAATTCACGAACATGCATGAACGTGCATTCAAATTTACATAGGGGTCGCTCGCAGGTGAATTTGGACATTCAATTTCAAAACCCGAGCAATCGATTTAATTTTAATATCGGCACTCTTTTACTTGTTCAGTGAAATCAAATTCACGAATGTGCGTACAATTTTCTACTTCGTGCATTCAAATTAACGCGGCACTCACGATGAGCCTGTTTGGGGCATTCAATTTCATTTTTCGGTGATCAATCTCCTACTACGTGCATTCAATTTAGTTTAATATTGAGAGGGATTCCAGATAAGAGGGACACTTTGATTACTTGGAATTATTGCTAATCACTGTTTCAAATGATATCTCCACAGTCTAGTTAATGTTCATTGTTCAGTGAAATCAAATTCACGAATGTGCGTACAATTTTCCACTTCGTGCATTCAAATTAATGCGGCGCTCACGATGAGCCTGTTTTGGGCATCCAATGTCATGTTTCGGTGATCAATTTCCTACTACGTGCATTCAATTTAGTTTAATATTGAGAGGGATTCCAGATAAGAGGGACACTTTGATTTCTTTAAATTGATTACTTGGAATTTTTGCTAATCACTGTTAAGATCTCCACAGTTTAGGTGTTCTTTGTTCATATGAAATCAAAGTCACGAATGTGCAAACAATTTTCCACTTCGTGCATTCAAATTAATGGGGCGCTCACGATGAGCCTGTTTTGGGCATCCAATTTCATGTTTCGGTGATCAATTTCCTACTACGTGCATTCAATTTAGTTTAATATTGAGAGGGATTCCAGATAAGAGGGACACTTTGATTTCTTTAAATTGATTACTTGGAATTATTGCTAATCACTGTTACAAATGGGATCTCCACAGTGTAGTTAATATTCTTTGTTTATATGACAACTGCTGCCTTTTGATCATGTATTTGATGATCATATATCTAATTATATATACATAATTATATACACATAATTATCCTGTGCTACACATTTCTATCAATATATATATATATATATATATATACACATTCGAAATAATTGGAAACATTTATATTGTTTAAAAACATAAAAACTAGTGATTTGGAGGTGATGTCTGCTATAGTACTGTGGAAATGCATTTTTCCTTAATTTAAAAAAAAAATGCAATTACTTTGAAATGCATTTACACAAACTTGAATGAATAGACTTTTTAATGAAATTGTTCTTTTGCATGATGTATATATACCCGTGATGTGTTTGTGTTCCTCTCTCTCTCTCTCTCCCCCCTCTCCCCCTCTCCCTCTCTCTCTCTCTCTCTCTCTCTATCACACACGTTTCTCTCTCTCTCTCTCCCCCCTCTCCCCCTCTCCCTCTCTCTCTCTCTCTCTCTCTATCACACACGTTCTCTCTCTCTCTCTCTCTCTCCCCCCTCTCCCCCTCTCCCTCTCTCTCTCTCTCTCTATCACACACGTTCTCTCTCTCTCTCTCTCTCCCCTCTCCCCCTCTCTCTCTCTCTCTCTCTCTCTCTCTCTATCACACACGTTCTCTCTCTCTCTCTCTCCCCCCTCTCCCCCTCTCCCTCTCTCTCTCTCTCTCTCTCTATCACACACGTTCTCTCTCTCTCTCTCTCCCCCCCTCTCCCCCTCTCCTCTCTCTCTCTCTCTCTCTCTCTCTCTATCACTGTCTCGCTCTCTCTCTATCTCTCATGTCACCCTCTCTCCATTCTCACTTTCACACTATCTGTCTCTCTCCGTCTTCAATTGCTTCTCTCCATGTCACCATCTCCCCATTCGCGCGCTCTATCTCTCTCCCTCTTTCTCTCTCTCACTCTCCCCCTCTTTCTTCCTCTCTCTCTCTCTCTCTCTCTCTATCACTGTCTCGCTCTCTCTCTATCTCTCATGTCACCCTCTCTCCATTCTCACTTTCACACTATCTGTCTCTCTCCGTCTTCCATTGCTTCTCTCCCATGTCACCATCTCCCCATTCGCGCGCTCTATCTCTCTCCCTCTTTCTCTCTCTCACTCTCCCCCTCTTTCTTCTCTCTCTCTCTCTCTCTCTCTCTATCACTGTCTCGCTCTCTCTCTATCTCTCATGTCACCCTCTCTCCATTCTCACTTTCACACTATCTGTCTCTCTCCGTCTTCCATTGCTTCTCTCCCATGTCACCATCTCCCCATTCGCGCGCTCTATCTCTCTCCCTCTTTCTCTCTCTCACTCTCCCCCTCTTTCTCCCTCTCTCTCTCTCTCTCTCTATCACTGTCTCGCTCTCTCTCTATCTCTCATGTCACCCTCTCTCCGTCTTCCATTCCTTCTCTCCCATGTCACCATCTCCCCATTCGCGCGCTCTATCTCTCTCCCTCTTTCTCTCTCTCACACTCTCTCTCTCTCTCTCTCTCTCTCTCTCTCTCTCTCTCTATCGCTCGTTGTCTCTCTCTAATCTCTTTCCCTCGTCTTTTATTCCTTTTCTCTTTTACTAGCCCCCCAAACTTTCTTTATATATTTTGTTTACTTTTTTTGTTGGTAGGCCTAATCAGATATGATAAGCTGAATACCAGTCATTGATCCAAAGACACTTCCTATAAAGACATAGGCCTACTTTGCTAATGAAATCACAAATTATCAAACACGGATAACACCCTCTACAAGAACAAGTACTTCACCCATCATCAGCTCAGCATACACAATGTTACACTACTCAGACATCACCGAGTCCACCACATAATAATCAAAACTTTTGAATTTGTTTTATCTTAGGCATATCTTGTTATGTGCGTTTATATATTTTGAACATGCCACGAAAAGTGTGATATTTGTACAAAATTTGATGAGTTGAAAGGGAAAAAGAGTGTCATTTTGGATCCAGTGATCATTGACACTTCACACAAAAAAAATCGATCACAGTTCTTAGGCAGTTTCTGCAGTTTTCATATACACTTGTATACAGCTTTTTGTTATATGTGTGTGCCATGAGTAATATGGCAAGTTATATATTTATGCATGTGTTTAACTTTTGTTTAGCCTACAGAGTTTACAAATGAGAATGATTGAAGATAATACTAATGTCATGTTAATGAAACCTACATTATTCACAAACTGAGCAAAAAGCTTCTCAAAGACCCCAACGAAACTAAACGCAATATATATTATTGAAATTGAATGCACTTTTTTCAAACATGCCTGCTCATTCACAAATTTGAATGACAACCGAGGTACCATAGCCGATATTAGACGAATTTGAATGCTCTTTGCATGAAATGTACGCTCTTAGTGAACAATATTGAATGACCCGATTTAACAACTGATTGCACGGATAGTGAATTTGAATGACGGATTTTGAATTTGAAAGCTGATTTAATGCTGCGAGTGCGATTTGCGCGAATTCGAATGCTGGGAATATGAACTTGAATGAAAAAAAGTGTAAAATTGGCCGTGAATACCTTTATTATTTCTGTATTGCAACCAAAACTTGAGGTTGGATTTGAAATACAAATATAATTACAAACATATAGGTAACAATGTTAAAAATAATGTTCGCAAAGCTAAAGAAACTGTTGAAACTGTTACATAAACATATGACTAACAATGTGCAATAATCAAATCATTAAACATTGCCAAATAAATTAATGTAAGCTTATGAGTACAACATTTCGTTAGGAATTTTTTACGAGTCATTGCTACGATGAAAGTGCATTAACTAGCATCCATGCACAATTAGCGTTCACCTGGCGCCTGAACGATTTGTTGCAAGCTCTCAAATATTTGTACAAAAAGGAGTTAATTATCATATACACAATTGTCTTTATTTGTTGCACAACCTATAATAAAACAGTAGAAAACGAAATACAGTTTTTTTTTTAAAATCAATGCCTTGTGTTTCCTACAGAATATTACTTGTCGTATTGATTGAAATATAAATGAATAGAAAACGAACGTACCTCATATATTACTTCAAAATCTTCTTGAAATGCTTTCTTTTGCATGTTGTTCTTAAAAGATGTTTTAAATACAATATGGTTTCATGACATTGGCTAAATGGAAATATTTGTCTCGAAATACAAAAGCAAAATGTTTACGCTAGATATATCTGGGCACTGATGCTTTTTAATGAGATATCTTTGTAAATATTTAAAAGATTATACATTTTGCTAAAATTATGTTATCTCTGTAGTCAGTTAACTTATAGATTGTAAAACCTTATAAACGCACCCGTCAGCTACATAATCGCCTCCGTCAGATTGCTCACGGGGGCGATTGCATAATTAAAAATCTCACTCGTGGAATTTTAAATTAAAGATAATCTTTTCTGTTATAACTTTCACACAATATTGAGTTTCAACTTTCAAACCTTAAACCAATGAAATGGAACTATGGAAGTAAGTTTAGCATGCAGGGTTTCTCGCTCGATTTTTTTTTTGGTGTCTAGAGGCCACCATATTGTAACCAAATGTACGCTTATTCGCCGCAAGATCTTCCTATATCATATAAAATGACTTTACACACACGGACTTTTGCTGAAAGGGGGGGGGGGTGCTGAAAAAGGCTCGTATAACAAAAGAGAAAGGTCGACCCGTATTGACTTTACACACCAGACTTTTGCTGAAAAGGGGGGTTCGCTTGGAACACGTATATGCGTACCCTAAATAACACTGAGTGGGGGGGGGGGGGGGGGCCGGGGTGGACACTAATCTGACATATATCATCTTTTATTTTCGTGAGCCGGAAGAAATCAGAAAAGTGTCAAATTGCAGGTTTTACGACTGTCAAATTTTACTATATTTCACAAATTTAAACTGCTATTATACAATATAAGCAAATTTGTTGACACAGTTAGGCTTTTGTATTCATATTTTATCATCTGTTCGATTTTCCCTATGTTTAGTTCAAATAAAAAGTGGGATATAAACGATACTTCGTTGTGAACAAAAACACTACTCAAGCTTTCCAATGATATTGGTGGCTTCGAACCTAGGACATCAAAGGTGACAGCACACATCTAGATTCTATTGTGCAACCTTAGAAAACGGCAGCTGCTTAGAATAAATTGTTGTCAGTTGGGACTCCACCTCTTAACACTATGAATATGACGGACAAAGAAAGAGGACAAAATATACAGTTCCTCATTCTACCCTCAACAATTGCAAAGGAACATCCCTTCACTGCTATTTATGTAAAAATGTGTATAACAGGTGTCACATGCATATTCACCTGTTCTACACATTTGTACTCTGTAATATGCTCTTATTATTTCTTTACTTTATTTCCTACAGTGAACCCGTGTAATATATCTGGTCAACCACTAGGCCTTGAAAGTGGTGCTCTTCCCGATTCTGCATTATCTGCATCATCCTGCGACTCGGAGCCCTTCTGCAGCAGTTTTGGTCGCCTGAACTCTAAGACAGCGTGGATCCCAGACTCTAACAACCCCGACCAATGGATACAGGTCCATTTTGAGTCAAGTTATATCGTAACGGCCATAACGACTCAGGGTAAAAATGACGATGATCAATGGGTGACGTCATACATCGTTTCATCTAGTTTCGACAACATGGCTTGGACTGATTATTTGAATGTATACTCTGGATCAGTTGAGGTAATTGCAAAACTGCGGTTTCTCAATTACATTAAAAAATTAATTAATCAGTGGTCTTTGTGTTCAGAGATAAATGTAAACTCGTTGAAACTCTATTAAACTATGGAAAATTTGTTGATGTACAGCTTTGTGTGCCATGGCTGAGAACCCCCCCCCCCCCCCCCCAAAAAAAAAAAAAAAACAAACAAACAAAAACAAAAACAAACAAACATACAAACAAACAAACAAACAAACAGTATATACTACTTAAGAATAAAACTGATTTGATCGTCTTGCAGAAGTTAAAGTTAATATAACAATGTTTTTAATAACAATGTCCCACTGTAATTTTATATTTAAAAATTATTATTACTTATTTTTTAGGCAATAAAGAGAAGAAAAATTAAATCAGATAACAGGAACTGCCATTTCTCATTTTATATATGTATAATGGGCAGAAGAAAAGTCAAAATAGCAATATACATAATATAAGCCTGCGCATATTAAAACCTCAGAGGATCATTATCAACCCAATAAGGATTTTAAAAAAAAAATTATTAGGAAAAAAAGAATAAAAACTCTCAAAAATGACACCTTGGTTGAGCAAGCCATGTTAATAGGGACGTTTCGACCACCCCCGAGCGATGGAACTCGGGTTGCTCTTCTTCTTTTTACACGATACTGTTCAGGATACTGAGATATGGACTTGACAAAAAATGGAAAAAAGAAGAACAACAAAAAATGGCCATGTTATTTGTAATTGGCCCTTTTTGACAACAACGTGTGTATAGTCAGCATCGTATTAATTCATATGCCGTATAGGTTAATGAACTAACGATCAGCTTCATTACGAATGAGTTTTCTTTGCAATATTACTTAACGTCATTCTCATTAACTATAGATATTTCCGGGAAATTATGACCGTGGTTATGTGACTCACACGCTTGCTAGGCCGGTAGTCGGACGCTCTTTCCGGATCCATCCAAAGAACCGTTATTATCCCGTTTCTTTGAGGATGGAACTATATGGGTATGGACCTCTAACTGATGCCATAGGTAAGTGCAGAGTAGGACTGTTACTTAAAGAGAAGGCTTATACATATAGATTTGTCGGTGCTGAACTCAATGACTTTTTTAGGTGAGATCGTCGTCCCCCCCCCCCCTGAAAATTTGTAAAAGTGCCACAAAAAAAATGTATAGCAAATACTGACTAAAGGCTGGAACATACTTTTAGGCTCTAGAGGGCCCAAGAGTGCAGCGTTTAGACAAATAAAAATGCAAAAATTTTCTCGTTCCGTTGCGTAATATCCTTCAAAATATACAAGTAAATACTGAGAAAAGTGAAGTGTGAAAATAGTATATTGTTTGTTTTAATAGTATAGTTTTGCTAAGGAATGTAATTTTTTAATACAACAAAACTTCAAAAACCTATGCGGGGGTATTCACTTCCGTCACCTTCACCCCTCTCGTTCACTGTGCTCCCTCGCCCTTGCGTACTGATAGGGGGAGCTAATGGGGCAGTCCCCCCCAAACAATTGCATGATGGCATGATTTTTCCCTGAGCTTCCAGGGGCTCTGCCCCCTGGACCCCACCAAGGCCCTAAGGCGAGCCCCTGGTTGATCAACTGACCGTTATTAAATGCCTAAAACCCCTTAGCTTCCGGGGGCTCTGCCCCTGGACCCCACCAGGGCCCTAAGGCGGGCTCCTGGATGCTCATCTGACTGTTATTAAATGCCTAAAACTCCTGAGTTTCTGGGGACTCCGCACCCTGGACCCCACTCCTATTAGTGACCTGCATGCCAGTGTCACAAATAAGGTATAAGAATATGCTCATCTGACCTAAATGCCTAAAACCCCTGAGCTTCATGGGTCTCTCCCCTTGGCCCTCGCCGGTGCTTTGCCTCTGGACCCCACTTCAATTTACGCTCCACTTGCTTCGCTCGCTTGGCTACCTGATCGTAAATACTTAAGCCCCCCCCCCCCACTTTGAAAAATGTTCCGCGGGGCCTGCATGTAACATGTAAGGGTGGTGGTGATGCGGATTTGTTTTTCTGACACCCCCCCCCCCCCCCCAAAAAAAAAAAAAATTAAAAAAAAAAAAAAAAAAAAAGCTTTTGCTCATTGCGCCACTGCTCCCTCGTCCCCCCGGTCATGAAAAGAAATCGCCGCCCTTGGTGCACTATTAAGACCGACCCTCTATCCTGTTCAGCAGAACCGCCTCACCGCACACTACACCATCCTCCTGCGATCTGATTTTCGAAGATTAATGGTAATTACATAAGTGATGGAAATCTAAACAGTTCAGTTCAGTTCAGTTCAGTTCTGAATAATGTTAAGAATAGTATCCACTGGAATCTTGATGGATTTAATTCTTCTAGTCATAATAAACGCCGAATCGGCTTCAAATTGTAGACAATCGCACTACTGGCCTGACGTCACTACGAGTCAGAGCCGATTTAGCATGTCCTCCCTCAAGAAAGTTTCAAATCCCTCAAAAATTAAATTGGATAATTCATGAGAGTGATGAGACTATTTGGACCCTCGATCAATAAGATTTAGTTAAGTTCGAATGTCCTATCAAATGTTGTTGCAAATGCTTCCTAAATCAGTTCGTAGTCAGATCGTATTTAGCGTGCGATGGGTTTAACTCATCCATCATAAATCTCCCTCATCCGAATGCTCCCCGAGCGCAGAGGCAAACTCAAGACATTTCCAGGTGGGCCAGCGATGGTACGTGCGGTCGGGTTTCATTTCTTTAAGATTTCAACGAATACGGTGATAATTTGATCACATTATGTCAAAGATTAATTTAATTAAATCGGCAATTGCCAAACGGTACTACTCTTAAGAATAAATAATTATCTTTTCCATCAATATAGAATTCTCGTTTGGGTAACGAGATGCCCGGCCCCCCCCCCCCCCACTCAGTGTTATTTAGGGTTCGCGTATGCTTGTTCCCTCTTTTTGAAAGCACCCCCTATCTGAGGACAGCCAACATTTCCGAACCCCCCTTTCGCGGGCTTTTCGCAGGCTTTTCCTGCCTTGGAGACCCCCCCTAAATCATGAAAAATGCACAATGTACCCCCCTAAATTCGGAATAATTTCTCAGGAGTCCAAAGAGATGAGAGAAAAAAAGAAAAGACAACCCCTTTTTAAAGAAATCTCAGGGTGAAAAGTTAATACACCCCTTTTTTTTACAATTCTCGGCCCGGCCTTTGTCGCACGAAAAGTACCCCTTTACCAGACATTTGGTAACACGCATGGGGTCCGTCTGTTCTCGGAGTGGGGGGGGGGGGGGGGGGGCCGGGACGAGATGTCGCGGGTTGAACGCCTGGACAGGCCGGCACCCATCTGTTTAAACATGAATATTGTAGGTGATTACAAGAGCATCCTGTCACACGAATGCTGAAGGAATACAGGAAAATGCAGGAACTCTTGTGTACCAATATGACAGGTGTTTTTATTGACACGCAAAAAATCAACATACTTGTATATTCATAATCGTGATAATTATTGGTTTCCTAAGATTCGTACTATTCCCCGATTAAAATTCTTTTGTTTCCTTCTACAGTTGTTGTTTTTATTTTGTTTTGTATTCCTTGCTCGTTTGTTCTTATTAATTCGTTGTATAACTTGTTGACAGAGTAGATTACCGGATTACATTCATAAAAAATACATTAAAAGGACAACCTTGCCTTGCGAGTAAGTAGGAAATATACAAAAGTTAGTTACAAGGTCAGTTAGTTGTCTTTGTCTTTTTTTGTGTGTGTGTGCAGCGTCGCTGAACCTCGATGCAGAATTTGGTTGTAATCCTCCTGTCCTCGGTGAGGGGCTTGGTGTGGAAAATAGCCGTATACCAGACTCTCAACTGACCTCGTCATCGAACTATAATTTTGTATATGCAGCTTACAAAGGAAGGCTGAATGCCGTTGTCACTGCATGGGGTCCCGCCATGACAGACAAGAATATGTGGGTTAAGGTAATTTGCTCTAGCATGTATGCGCGTTGAGATGATATCAAAAGATAATTTGTGTACAGCTAAAATGCATAAAAATCTAACTTCTCTTCGTGATAGGCTGCACCTTGACAGATTATTATATTATAAGATACAAACTAGGATACAATGCTATAACAAAATTAAAAAAGTAAGGGCTGGTCAGACTCGACCTTCAACGAAAACGTAATTTTCCTCCTGAGGTCCATCCTAAATAAACATTAAAGCCCGGTCCCACTGCACTTACGGATGTAAAACGTAAAAAAATCTTGCCATCCGTTGGAAAACGCTATGCATCCATTGTGTACTCATTGCATACGTGTTTCATACGCTCTATCCATCGAGCATCCGTCCACTTTGATTTCATCCGCGCAAAAAGTTTTGAGCTGCACAAAACTTTTAGAACGGATGAACTTACGCCGTGTACGATGTAAATCCGCGACAAATACGAGCAACAAACATTATATGTCCTTTATCATCCGTTACACGTCCGATGTATCCGATGGGACCAGGCCATTAAAGGGCGTACCTTCAATCGAAAATCCCGCTATCGCTATCATTCAAATCTGACCAGCTCTTTCGTTTTGCTCATTTTGAAAGCAACAATTGTGTTCAAATATACATAAAAATTATGTTTGCTTGTCCTTACTATCAAATGCAAGATAATCTGCCATCGGATATATTAATATTTTGTCTTCTTTTCATCATTAAAATCACCAAAAGGTCGATCTCGGCAAGAATACTTTGGTAACTGGTGTTATCACACAGGGTAACTATTATGCTAACCTATGGGTTACGTCATTCCAAATCTCCTACTCAAGAGATGATATGATTTGGACCTTTGCTCTAGAAGAGCATTGCGGGGTACGAAAAGTGAGTGTCATTTTCGCACTTCCAGAAAAGGCCAATTTTGTTTTGGTTAAATTTATCATCTTCCTTGTTTATTCATGTTCTTTTAATTACTTGTATATTTAAATACTTGTTTAAAATTTCCTTATTTAATTTTGCATGCAATTTTTCAACCATATCTACATACGTTTACACATCCAAAAGGATGAATTTCCTATGCAAAATTAAAGGATTTGAAAAAAGTATTTTTGAAATATGAAATCATTCATGTGCCTCGGATACGATATCTCTAACATTAACCAACGTTTGCCATTCTCCACCTAGGTGTAATTCAGTACCTGGAAGTTTCCGAGGGTCATAGGGATTGCGGGGCACTTGGGAAGAGCATAAATGATACTCATGATGAGCCTTTACATGGTTACTACAAAAATTATAGATCACTATTATTATCATTATTAGAAATAAACATTATCTATCGCTTTCATTCTTTTTCAGACTTATGCAGGAAATTTTGATTCTAACACACATGTGACCACACTGTTTCCTGAGCCAGTAACCGCACGGTACGTCAGGTTTCATCCTAAAACATTTCGTTTTCGGACGAGTATGAGATTCGAAGTACTTGGTATCAACACTTGAAGAATAACGAGTTATCATTAAATTGATTTATTGTTTTATTAAATCTTTTTTATTCATTTAGCGAGTTATCATTAAACTGATTTATTGTTTTAATAAATCTTTTTTATTCATTTAACGAGTTATCATTAAATTGATTTATTGTTTTATTAAATCTTTTGTATTCATTTATTTATTTACTTTTTTTATTTTGTTATCTATTAATATATCTATATATGAATTAATTCATTTATTTAATGAAATAATTATCGTGCTATAGCATCTAAATAAAAGGGTTTGATTAAAATTCTAAATGATTTGAATATAGCGCCATAGTTGTGTTGTCATAGGATTACACGATTACAAGTGACAGCAAGATCTTTAACTCTAATAAGGCCGGGGACCATTATGGCCCCCCCCCCCCTCCGCGATTTTTATGATTGTTCGGGAATGCATACGGATGGCGCCCCGCCGCTCGCTGACTTTTTGGTTGTTGGGTCTTGTTTAAAGTTTAGGTGTTTGTGTTGGGAGTCAAAATTGTAGTTAGAAATTTAAAAAAAATATAAAAAAATACAATAAAATACAAAAAAAAAAAAATGAAATACATAAGAAATTATCAAAACAAGAGATAACATAATGAATAACCTATCTCTTCCAAATTTTATGTCGTATTATTGTTTCAAATAGTCTAACGAATACATGTAGTGAAAAAGAATCCTTAAATATAAAGAAAATATGATTTATGGGTAAAAATGTTAATTTTATGACCTTATTTGCATACATTACCATAGATATGCAAATGAGTGAATTTTTCAAAAAATTAAATTTACCATAGTATTCTATACACTTCACTTAAAATGCGTGCAAAGTTTCGCAGCGATCGGCCGTTTCACGGCCGAGATCTTAAGGGGGCCATAATGCCCCCCCCCCCGGCCGCATCAAAACCTCAAATAGTCCAGCCTTTTTAGAGTTAAAGATAAATAATCTACTTTCTTTTTTTTCATGGAGATTTTATACCATGTTTGTACCGGGTGTTTACCCGATATTAGCTGTATTTGATAACCGAGGGTAAACTTTACATTTAGGATGGAGTGATAATTAAGTCTGAAATGATCAACAATATACGGCAAACTTCGATAAACCCTACTCCTATGGAAAGCTCATCATCATAAATCTCCATAGGTAGCATATATTGGCACGAGCTTTAGTGGAGTCATGAATATTCATTAGTCCCTACGTCACAGACGTGCGGCGTGCGTAGTGTGTCATATACACAATGTACTAGTACACGAGTACGTTTGTAAGTATTAGAACATGACTTGTACGTTGCTCCGGAATGAAGAGAATCGCTATAAAGGACGAATTACTCCGTGAAGCCAAGTACGAACAGAGAATTGAAAGCAACCTAATCTAGCTAGTTTTGTAATAACAAATAGGTATTTTTTTTTCATAATAGTTTACTCTTTCGTGGCTTCGTACTAAGGAACCTTCAAAAAGATGATTTGTAGAAAAAAGAAAACTGAAGAAAAGAAAACATGTGCACCCAGCAGTTCAATGCAGTTCCTACCTACCTAGGCCTACCTAAACCCACCTACAAAATATTACTTGCATGTTGCTTAAATAGTTGACAGCCACAATATTTAGTAAAATAATAGGCGTTTCATGTATTTTAATACTGGTAAGTTGCTCGATATGATTTGATTCGATATAATTTATATCTCATTAATGAAACCATCTCAAGGCTATAAGTCTCAAACATATCTTCACCATTAAACCGAGTGCCAGCAGCATTAAACCATGCCCCCAAATTTAGTGATCTTCTTTTGGATATCGAAAAACCGAGGTTTCACTGGTTTATTTAGCAAAATGGAAATTGTAATACTATAATGTTCGAGTACATCACTTTGTATATAATTTGATCCGAGATATATCTCATTAATGAAACCACGCAAAGGCATGCTAGTTTCAAACAAACCATCACCATTAAACCGAGGGCCAACACCATTAAACCATGCGCCAAATTTAGTAATCTTCTTTTGTGCATCGAAAGACCGATCGAGGTTTCCCGGGTTTAATTAGAGAATTGGAAATTTGATACTATAATGTTCGATTACATCACTCAGTATTTGATTTGATCAGATATATATCTCATTAATGAAACCATCTAAAGGCTATTATAGTCTCAAGCAAACCATCACCATTAAACCGAGTGCCAACACCATTAAACCATGCGCCAAATTTTGTAATCTTCTTTTGTGTATCGAAAGACCGAGGTTTTCCGGGTTTATTTAGGGAATTGGAAATTTGATACTGGTAAGATGCTCGATAACATCACTAAGTCTGATTTGATTAGATATATATCTCATTAATGAAACCATGCAAAGGCATTCTGGTCTCAAACAATCCAACACCATTAAACCGAGTGCCAACACCATTAAACCATGTGCCAAATTTAGTAATCTTCTTTTGTGTGTCGACAGACGAGGATTCACGGGTTTATTTAGAGAATTGGAAATTTGATACTATAATGTTCGATTACATCACTCAGTATATGATTTGATCAGATATGTATCTCATTATGAAACCATCTAAAGGCTATTATAGTCTCAAGCAAACCATCACCATAAAACCGAGTGCCAACACCATTAAACCATGTGCCAAATTTAATCTTCTTTTGTGTAACGACAAACCGAGGTTTCACGGGTTTATTTAGGAAAATGGAAATTTAATACTAGTAAAATGCTTGATATTAAACATCGGTCAGTCTATAATTTGATCCGAGATAATGTCTCATAAATGAAACCATCTAAATAGTCTCAAACAAACCATCACCATTAAACCGAGTGCCAACACCATTAAACCATGCGCCAAATTTAGTAATCTTCTTTTGTGCATCGAAAGACCGAGGTTTCCCGGGTTTATTTAGGGAATTGGAAATTTGATACTATAATGTTCGATAACATCACTCAGTATTTGATTTGATCCGAGATATATCTCATTAATGAAACCACGCAAAGGCATGCTAGTCTCAAACAAACCATCACCATTAAACCGAGGGCCAACACCATTAAACCATGCGCCAAATTTTGTAATCTTCTTTTGTGTATCAAAAGACCGAGGTTTTCCGGGTTTATTTAGGGAATTGGAAATTTGATACTGGTAAGATGCTCGATAACATCACTAAGTCTGATTTGATTAGATATGTATCTAATTATGAAACCATCTAAAGGCTATTATAGTCTCAAGCAAACCATCACCATAAAACCGAGTGCTAACACCATTAAACCATGTGCCAAATTTTGTAATCTTCTTGTGTGTAACGACAAACCGAGGTTTCACGGGTTTATTTAGGATAAATTATTTTGATCCGAGATATATCTCATTAATGAAACCATCTAAAGGCATGCTAGTCTCAAACAAACCATCACCATTAAACCGAGGGCCAACACCATTAAACCATGCGCCAAATTTAGTAATTTTCTTTTGTGTATCGAAAGACCGAGGTTTCCCGGGTTTATTTAGGAAAATGGACGTGAGGGTCGCTATTCATAATGCGGAATGAGAGTCTCTATTTATAATGGTCATTATCATTCATAAAGATGTTGTATTGCCCTTTAGCCAAAAAATTGGGTCGGTCGGGTTTTTTTTCCCTCCCTCTTTGGGCTGATATTTCTCAGTTTTGTAATTATTTTTATTTTGTATTCATTAAACATTTGCGGGGGGGGGGGCGCCACGTGACCCCGAATATTTGTAGAAAACATTTATTGAAAACATTGAAAACGTACATTTCTGAACCAAAAAAGAAAAAGAAAAAAAGGCGTGCCCCAAATATGTACGTGAGCCATCATCCCAGTCCCCAGGCCCCGCCCCTTAATCAGTCCGACCACGCTGCGCCATTCGGCCCACTCTCCACGCAGTATTCCCTTGGTACAAGTATATTACCGACAATTCTCGTCCAATTAGTTCATAGATGGTGTAGCCTGTTTATGTTTCAAGGAGGGAGGGACAGTGGGGATGTGGCAGCGTTGCCATCAAGGGGCTGATCCAGGCGCGGATCCAGGGGAGCCGAGCGGGCCTTGCCCCCCCCCCCCAAAAAAAAGAGAGAGAGAGAGAGAGAGAGAGAAGGAAAATATGGGAAAGGGAAAGGGAAAGAGGAGAGAAAGTTTAAGAAAGAAGAGGCAAAATAAAAGTAAAGGGGCGAGAAGAAGGAGATAGGGGGGGGGGGGGCGAAAGGGTGTTACCTCCCCCCCCCCCCCCCCCCATCAAAAAAAATTAGAAAAAAGGAAGGAAAGGGAAAGAACAAATGAAAGAAGAGAAAAAGGGAAGGATAAAAAGAGGAAGAAGGGGGATATCAGTTGCAATTTTTCAGCCAACAAGTTGTGGATCGGGGGAGGGACCACAAGGCTCTTCCCTCCCCCCCCCCCCCCCTGCCAAAAAAAGAGAAGTGAGGTACAGGTAAAGAGGAGAGCTGAAAGGGCACAAAAAGAGGAAGAAGAAAAGAAAAGGGTGAAAAGAAGGGGAGATCAGTTGCGATTAAGCCAACAACGTGTGGATCGGCGGCGGGGGGGGGGGGCAAAAGGCCCTTGCCCCCCCCCAAGCAAACCCAAACGAGAGAGAAGGAATGTAAGGGAAAGGGAAAGAGGAGAGAAAGGGAAAGAACAAAAAGAGAAAGAAGAAAGGTATAGGGGAGATCAGTTGCGATTTTGTCCCGCCAACAAGGTGTAGATCGGGGGGGGGGGGGGCACTATAAATAAAACATGGTTTATTTCTAATTCGATACCGGTGATTTACAAATGTGTATAAATGACATACTTTTCCGAGAATTTTCCTCACTTTTTAGTAAAGTATAATTTTTAAGGCATCCGTTTGTTGGAAAATGACAAATTCCTAAATTTACAGTGAGGCAAGAAATATGATTATTTAGAGGCCTTCATGTCAGAGCCCGCGAAATAGCGGGGCTCGGAGGCCTCGAGCTACCCCACACTTTTTTTGAAAAAGTATATTAAAGAGAATATAGAAAGAAAGGGAGAATGGAAGAAATAATAGTGTCCAGCGAGATTCACATAATAATAAGGTATCAAAATATGCTCATCTGACCGTGATTAAATGC